GACTTTTTACTCAGAACACATTTTATTCTTTACCGTAAGAAATATGAAGCACGAAAAGAATCTGTATTCTGCCATCACACAATTGTAAAGGTATCGTCCTTTCTTCATGGATTCTTCTTACCAATAACCAATCAAAGATACAACAATCTGACTCTTTTTTGTGGATTTTCTCTTTTCGTCAATTCTTTGGCGAAAGTCTTGTGAACTTTTGCCAACATAGGCGAGAACCTGATGGAGTTTTACCAATATTAGCTAGGATGTGGCAGTAATTATGGGTATGAATGTAGGTATCGGTGTGCAGTGAATGAAAAGAAGACGCATACCCACAGCTACACCTCACCCACACCCACACCCATAGAAAGCAAACAAGACTTGATTGACACGTATATACTTTTCTTCTTTCTTTTCCAGAGCAAGTCGATGTATTTGCACAGCCTGCACTTGAGTAGTTGGTCTCACTTGCGCAGAAATAGTTTGATTAACAATCGACGAATAGCGCACATTGGTGGCTGTCAGTAATGGGTTTTTCTCGCTTGAAAACATTCTTGACTCGCACTTTGTCATAATTATCCAGCAAGCATTTCTAAGACTTCGAATCTTCAGTACATTTATCATGAAACAATAAACAATCAACCCTCCATTGTTTCGTTGAAAACCGTTTAAGGATATTAGATCATGCTTTATTTACATTAGGATAACTCGTAGTTGAGATGCATCCATTACTATCAAAATGGAATTTCCGACCTTTTTTCGTGCAAGTCCATAGCCTAAATGGTCTTTAATCTAGATTCATCGATTATTATGCCAAACAGACATTTAACTGTCTAAATATCGACCATGATGAGATTTTTGGTGCTGGAGTGTGAATGTGAATGGATGTGGGTGCTGCTGTGTGCGTATCATCTAAACCTTCATCCACCGCATGCCCACACCCAACATCGGATGACCAGAATTTTGGTCCACCGGACTCTCGGCCCGTGCTCACCGACTCTTTAAATTTTTTTTTTAAATTTCTACTCTATGAAACCACACTCACACCCACACCCTTTTGGCCTGCCCAGAAAAATCACCAAAATTTCGAACCGAGCCAAAAGTCCGGGCCACAAATTCCGCGGGCCGAAATTCACGGTACCTACATGATCTCTTAGACGCACATGTGTGTCGTATAGTATTTTATTTCGAAAGCTGTATGAGGACAATTGTGCTGTTAGAAATAAGATTTATTAAATATGAATTACACAGTACTAGATTAGCAGAATTTCGAAAAAAAACCGAACAGTTTCTAAATATTCTAGAAATCGATGGCGTGAAAGTCATTTTACATCAATTGACAGTTGGAATTTTGTTTTTGACATTCTTGTAATTCGATATCTAGTCCTTCTTTTGTCATGACCGTACCATCTTTATTCGACCACTTGAACATGTGTGATGTAATTTTTACAATTTCGAATACACAAAATGGTACAATTAACACTTCTCTTTCATGTGGATATGCTGACAGATCGTCTAGTTTCAATGCTGAACGTTTACCAGTAATGGTGTATGTGCATAGAGCAGGACGTTTGTCAGTTTTTAGGTCAAGATTTTTTATTGCAAACTCTTTGGCAACTAGAGAGTCGCTTGAACATGAAGCAAAAGTTTTAATTAAGATACGTTTTTCTTTTCTATATTTCAACAAGCTCTCTGTACTCAATGCCATACCACGATAAAACGAACCTTGAACTCCATATTTACGCAAAGATGGATGTCGAGCAATAATAGCAGCTAACCGTCCGTAAGTTTGCCAAAAAGGTTTGATCTCTGCATCAAATATATATTTTTGATTTAACATATCAGCTGATGTAGCTGCTAGATCTCTATTCAACACTCGATAAAAAAGGGTTTCCAATGTGTAAGCTTTCACGATAAGTCCTGGATCATGCATATCAATTGCTTCTTGAAATAATTTCTCAACTTGATTTATATGAGGGTCATTCTCGAACTCTTCCTTTACCTTTAAATAACTATGGATACTATCTTCGATAGTGAATTCCATGTTATTACAGCCGGTTTCAAGCCATTTACGATAATGAGATGCTTGTTCAACCATATTTGAATCATATGAGACCCATTCAAGATTCGAGTTCGCTTGAGAAAAACGGTTATTCTGAGTATCATCAATCATTTGATGGCGTCTAAATGCGCATACTAAATCTCTCGTACTAGCTTCTTCG